TTCCCAATTGTTGATCTTCAACACTTGGCTATTGTTGAAGAAAAATTGGAAAACAAACATTTATTTAACAAATATGTAAGTTATTTCTATAGGTAGACTATTCTACAGTTTTAATATTTTGTTAAATTTTTTATTTTCAGAAGACAAAAATGTTCCATTTAACAGCTAGAAATGTAGATGAAACAGTTAAAATTTTAATGGGAACAATTTTTTCTAAAAATATTGCTCCTTCAATCAGTTTTACAGGTAAAGGTAAAACTGTGAATGGGTTAGAAAAGAAGGCTCTAATCAAAATGAAAATATTTGAAATCTTAAAAGGTAATTGTTTTAAACTAGGTATTTATAAATGATTTTGAAATATAAATGAGTATTTGTTTTTACTGTATGTTGTAGAAGTAACTTTTCATAAGCATTGTAATTCAAACATCAAAGAATTAAAACTATCCATTATGTCATGGTTTAAACATGCAACAGAAAGAAAAAATAGGTCACATGCTGCTATACAACGTTTAAACCACAATAATGAACGCAACAAGACAGTCACTGCCGCCATAATGGACCACAATGATGATTCAGACGAGTATGTAGTATCAAACAACTCAACTAATTCAGACTTATTACTTAATCAATCTCAAGATATGTTTTAAGTTATGATATTTATCAAAAGTCTGATAAAAATTCAGTATTATGTATTTTTTTTTTTTATTATTAAGTTTGTAATGTCAATCCTCTAATCTTCTAATAATTAAGAGGTGTAGACATTTTTTATGATGTTCAAGTTTTAACTTTTTTATAATTTTTCTAAAATACTATATGGTCATAAACTTATAATATAGTCAGTAAAATTATTTATTATTTCCACAGAGTATGTCGCATCAAACAACTCAATTAATTTACTTATTAGTTAATCAATCTCAATAAAATATGATTTAAGTTGTTATTTATCGAAAGTCCTATAAACAGTCAATATTATTAAGTATTTTTTTTTTTTTTTTATTATTAAGTTTGTAATGTCTATCTTCTAATATAACTAAGAGGCATAGACAATTTTAATTTTTTTAATTTTTTTAAAATACTATATATGGTTAAAATTTATAATATAGTCAGTCAAAAAGTCAATAAAATTATTTTTTATCGCCAATTTTATATGACTCAGTTATTACTTTTTATAATTTTAATATACATATATAATATTAAATATTTATATACATTCATTATTAATAATAAATGTATTACCTATTATATTCATTGTTATTCAGTTATATTTTTTATATGTTAATAAATAATTATCAATATATTATAATATATTGTTTTTATTACTTCAAATATGTAATATAATATAACTGTTCATTTTATTACTTGGGTTTTATTACTAATATTCATGATTAATGGTTATTATTTTTGTGCCTGTGTATGATAGAGATATACCTATGCATATTGCATATATTACATATATTATATAATATTATGTTGAAACTTGAAAGTTTCTGCCTGAACAATTGTTTTCAGAGTTGGTTATTATTTTAACAGTGTTAAGTCAAAAAATCTAACCTGGGAGATTAAAATATAAGCTGCTAATCCAGGATTTCCCACCGAAGATTTTTACACGTAGGTATGCATTAATATAGAAATTATTCAATTTAATAATATACAATTTTTTATACAATTCTAAAAAGAGTATTTGGGCAGTAAACAGGATTCTTTTTGGAATCCATATATATATTCAAGAGCTTCTTATTGGTAGGAAATAGGAAGCTGGGATTTGCTACCTTTGTCATACCCAACTATGGACATTCAGCATATGCAGGTACAGTCTGATGGCTTCCTGTTAAACACCCGGGAACTGATTAGGAACTTCCTATTAACTACCCATATTCCTGATAGAGTGTTCCCAAGTACTTCCATAGGAATAATTTGTGTTGTTAGGGATGTTGGATATCGTAATACGAATGACAGACACTAAAAAAGTGTTTTTTTACTTTATCGATAAAAAAAATCAACGACGATACAAGCATAATATGTAAATATCAAGATAACAAGAATAAATATAATAATCATTTTTAATCATACCCTATAGTTGATATAGATATAGCTATATCAGAATGTCGGAGTTAATAATATTATATTAAACATTTAAAAATAGAAAAATTCAAACAGATAGTAGGAATTCAATATTATAATAATATATTGATAGTTGATACGTCCGAACTGAATAATTGATAATAATATTATTATGTGTTGTTAGTTGTTACTCATTATGCAGTTATATTGTCTATGTACAACTCATATTATTTTTCCTATACTTACTTGAAGTAATAGTATCGAAAACATTGGTGTATTGGAGCGGGCGGCGGTATCTTCACAGCTGATATAGTTAATAAAGAATAAATAATAATGAATAGGTAGTCAAATTTTATTGTGTTTGTTGAGATGAATTAATTTAGTTAGCAACGTGACTTGCACAGTTAACATAAATGCGTATTTATCAAAGTAGGTACCTACCTAAATTAATTTGAAATTTTATTTTTTTCTCACATAATAAAACAAATACCCCAATATAATACTTTTCATGTACAATTATATAGAACGTACCAACCTATTGATTTATTTAAAATTAGAAATTCATAAATAATATTATATTATTCAAAGTTATGTATACTATAGAGAGTAAATAAAAAAATAATGATATTATGATGTCTGCCACAATCCGTTGTCAATCGTTATGATTAACTGTTGGCTATTGTAGTAGTGTTCTATTATTCGATAAATGATTGCTTTTCGGAAAAAAAAAATATTGGATAAATAATACCTACTAATAATAGAAATTACAGGTAAATCGTAAACATAAAATACGAAGTTAATTAGTTCAAAATATATATGTAAATACTACCTAATAGTATACCTATGTTTTGACACCATTTTTGAAAGTTTCTGACAACAAGTCAGGGCTGCATGAAGTTGGCCCTTTCTTGGTTCCACCCCTTATAGCTCCTTTGTTTTTGACTTGCGAATTCCTGGGTTGGAATTGCAAATTCCTGCTAATTACTTGAGAAATAATTTCAGTTTGAAAAACTATTTAAAAAAATGTTAGGGCAAACTTCATGGACGTCTACTTTTGTTTTTTGATTTCTAAATTTTCTGATAATTTCCAAACTCGGGGATTGAATTTACAATTGTTTACAATTTGTCCGGGAACGATCCGACAGATTGCTGGAGGCTGCTTGAACTTGGCCCCTTGAAACTTATTTTTGACTCAACGACAGAGGGGGTTATTTACAAATTCAAGTATTGAAATTCCAATTATTTACAATTAATTTACAACTGTTTGCAATGATTTTGAAAATGTTTGCACAAAGTCGGGGGGCCATCTTCATCTACGTCCAACCAGGTGCAAAATTTGATTTGCTAATAGTAGCTTGACTTGCTATTTTTGAAAACCAACTTGCTATTTTTTGTCATATTTTTAGAGGGGATCGGATAAGTGGGTGGGCTACCTGAACTTGACCCACCCGATGCAAAATTCGATTTGCTAATAGTAACTTGACTTGCTAATAAACCTACTTGCTATTACTTGCTAATTATTCGCTATTTTTTTGGAATATTTTTGGAGCAGATTGGATAAATTGGGTGGGCTACCTGAACTTGGCCCACCTAATTAAAAATTGATCATATAAAATGTGAAAACTACAAAGATGTAGTTTGTGAAAGTGAATGTAAGTAATATGAAATTGAATAGGATACAAATTATTTTTGGTCTGTTTTAACTGTTTTATACGTCTTATAGTTTTAATTTAATACAAATTAATTGTTTCATATTTTGTTACCTTAATATGCTTCTATTAAAATACCTTGCAATTACTTGCAATTACAGAATGACGTATTGGTACAGGTTTGGTGTCGATAGGGCAAATCGGTAGTGCCAACTTCATGGTATAAAACTACAACTGTGGGGTCAAGGGATGACTTGCAAATTCTAAAAATGGAATTGCAATTGCTTGCAATTACCGAGGGACGTTTTAGTACTGGTTTGAGGTCGATATTGAAAATCGATAGGGCCAACTTCACGGTATTAAACTACCCCTGTGGAGTCAGGAGATGACTTGCGAATTCTAAAAATGGACTTGCAATTACTTGCAATTACCGAAGGACGTTTTAGTACTGGTTTGGGGTCGATAGGGAAAATCGGTAGGGCCAACTTCACGGTATAAAACTACCCCTGTGGAGTCAAGGGATGACTTGCAAATTCTAAAAATGGACTTGCAATTGCTTGCAATTACCTAGGGACGTTTTGGTACAGGTTTGGGGTCGATAGAGCAAATCGGTAGGGCCAACTTCACGGTAAAAAACCACCCCTGTGGGGTCAGGGGATGACTTGCAAATTCTAAAAATTGACTTGCAATTGCTTGCAATTACCGAAGGACGTTTTGGTACAGGTTTGTGGTCGATAGGGCAAATCGGTAGGGCTACGTGAAGTTGGCCCTTACTTTCATGTTTTTTGTTTCCTGACGAAACTACTGACTTACAAATTGTATTAATGGACTTGCAATTACTTGCAAATAACTTGCTAAATATTGATTTATATTTGAAGTTTTTAGCATTTAGTCGGAGGGCCAACTTCACACACGTTTTTGCAATGCATCATTTTTTTAGGTAGGTATCGTATATTAAGAAGATGTCAGCGTTCTATTTAATAGGTAGGGCCACGGTCTTATATACAGGTCGGACAACTCTGTACTATCGAAATGCATACTGTTGGATCGCTTATTGATGAACGGAATAATCAAAATGATCTGCAACGCTATCTATTATCATAGTTCTCAATAGTATCATAATTTAATAATTGTAACTAAATACAGAAAAAAAGTATACTAATTAGTAATTTCAACCAAAACGCATTTTATTTGAATAATAATATAATATTTAATGTTCGAAAAATAATAATTAAATTATATTATATAATTTTATTTACATTTATACTATATTATTAAGTACGACAAAATTTAGAAACCCTTTTTCTTTTTAGAATTCTCTTTTAATTTCTCTTTATTTAATTGTCGTGTAAATTGTCTCATTCTCATGTTAATATAGTACCTTTTACTATACGCAAGGATATCATCTTTATGAACATTACATGGGAAATTCAAGTCTTCATTTCGTAAGATATCTTCGATCGTTTCAGAATATACATGAGCACTATTAATATGTTTGGTAAAATAATCTTCAACTTTACATATAAATTTATAAAATACATAATTAGGGTGAATTAATTTACCCATAGATTTAAAATTAGTTAATTCTGCTTCTGAAACATTGGAAAATGATTTCATACTCTTAAATGCAGAAATACAAATGTCACATTTCGACCTCGTAGAGATTTGTTTACTTAAATATCCAACCAAGTAGTATATTAAGCATTCTTTTATAGGTGAAAGACTATAATCATGTTCGAATACATCTGAGAATTCCCAATCACCATCTTCCACTAGACCATCCATTTTCTTTTTTATTACATTTAAAGCTGATGGGTTATTATTTTTACTATTGAAAATTAGTTTTATTTCACTAATTGTAATCAAAGGCTTGGCATCATCTGATGGTTCAACAGTGCAATTGCCAAATTTAGGTGGTTTTAGTAAACTATAAATAGATAGAAGTTTGTATAATTGCAAAAATGTTGGGGTCCCTGGATGGTCATTAGCACCAGCAGCTTGACGAATGGTACCAAAAAATACCTAAAAAAATATTCCATAACTATAATAATAGTGAAAATACAACAAAAAATACTTGATGTTTAATATTATAGTTCATAATTCATATACATACTTCTAATTTATCTTGTGTAATTTTCCCAGTAAGAACATATGAGAAATTATATACTTCTATGAGGTATGTTATAATATCAATCGTCGAGTTTAAAGTAACTCTTAAGCCTTCTGCAGTGTTAGATGTTAAGAAATTTTGTTCATTTAATTCTCCAATTTTAACTCTCATCTCCCAGTCATTTAACCATTTAAGTGTGTCTTGAAAGACCTATATTTTATAAATATAAATTTAAAACTACCCAACAAATACAATTTTAATGTAAACAAAAAATTAGTTTTAACAAAAATACTATTATTTTGATTATAAACTTATTAGAACAAACATTTATAACTTAACATGAACATGCAAAAATTCTACCCTATGCCAAATTAACAAAATCACAAAGCAAAAATTTAAAGTTAGACACATGAAACACATAAATTTAGAGCAACATTAAAGAATCAATAATTTTATGTCACTTCTAACTTTGTAGTCATTAGTATCAGGATGTACACCTTGAAACGGAACTTTTCTGTTTAATGCATCAAACATTTCATTAAATTTAACGCAAAAATTGATTGTAGAATCACAATTTTCTAAACCCTGAACTTTTCTTTTTTTTAACACTTCTAGACCAACTGCCATAGAGTTACTCAAAACCTTTTTTAATTATATCAAATTCATGAATGGTGGATAGTCAGAAAATTTTATTTTTGGTTAATACTTAATTTTAATCTGTTATTAGTGTTTACCTGTACTGCTAGACGCACACGCATCTTTAAAGATGGATTCTGTAAATTTAAATGGTTATCAGTAATTTTTGGGCACAAGTGTAATTTACTATTACTTATAGTCTTGTCATATTCATGTAATATTCTAAAATGATTCCATTTTACTGGCTTTTCCATAGGATCTACCTAAATGTATTTAAATTGATTAACAAAAGCATGTACATATAGTATAATATTAATTATACATAAATAAATCAAACAATTTCTTACTAATAGTTCACGTTTGTTGTATAGACGATTTCGAACATTTTTTATCAGATGACTGGTATCGGAAAAAGCAAAGAATTTCCTATTTGAGTCATTAAAATGCTCAATATAGCTACGACTACTTTCAAGTTTACCAGATATACCCAGTTCTGACCAAACTTTTCTGTTAGTTAAAGCACTGTCACTTACAAATCCATGAATTAAAACTCCAGCTTTTTCCAATAATATTGTAGCTTTTATAAGTAGTTTAACCAATGTGTCCCCTTTGACAGGTCCCCTAGATGCAAATACAGCAATGGGTTGTGTATAAGTGTCAGCCAGTGGTTGAAAAAGGAAAACAAGACCATGATTAGCTAGATCATCTAGACTATTAGGTTTTGGTAATTGATTGCAAACTTCATCTTCTTTACCAAAATCAATAAGTCCAGAATAGGTGAGAGTATGAGATTTAACAGAAATGTTTTCTCGAACTGATATTTCATCAAAAACCAATAACCCAATCTTCTGAATACCTATTGCCATTAGAGTTTTTACGCTTAGATGTAGTTAATATTTCTTGGACCAGTAATTGATGTTTACCTGATGGAATTTTCTTCAAAACTGTCTCTTCGTCTAAATTTTTTATTTTTTATTTATAATCCTCTATAGTCAATTTGATATTTATAATTTTATGTTTTAACTTACGGTTATGTTGTTGTTTTAAATGGTTACGTTTGCGGAGCAATTTTAAATTATGTTTTTTGCTAGGTGTGACTTTTAAAGATATTCTTTTAATAGTTTTAGATTTTCTTCTGACTTTATTATTATTAAATGTTCTATTAATTAACTTACAAGAAGCACACACTATATTTTGTTCTTGAAGTATAATACAACAATTATTATGTCTCCATTTATTTAAGGAATCAATATACGTTACTTGAGTTTTATACGATAAGTAGTAGAAATAATGCTTCGATTTTCAACTTCAGTATCTTGTTCGATTGGAAAGTGAATATCGTTGGTGCATTGGGAGGTCAAAATTTAAAATGCTCAGTAATTTTCAAAAGCACTGGAGAAAAACAACATAAAAATTAAGGAAAAACGGGAATTTTTACGCAAAATCGATTTTTCACAAAATTGAATTTAGTTTTTGGTGTAACTTTAAAAAAAATGACCTTAGGTACATGAAATTTTCACTGGTTGTTTATATTTGCATTTTCTATATAAGATTACATTTTCAAAATATTTTGATTTATTTTGAACTGTTTAGGGACATTTTCATTTTCCATTTTTTTTTAGTTTTTTTTCTAGAAATATCAATAAAATTTTATTTGTTGGTTAAAAAAGCTTGAAAATTTAATACAAGGCTCCTAGTATATTGTTTCAAAGGCAGATGAAAAATATTTAAAATCCTTAGTCACAATTTTTTTTTATTATAAGCATTTAAAGTTAAAAAATTGACAAAATATGGAAAAATCACGAAAATTAGCAAATTGTAATACAAGTTTACTCATAAGTTTGTCTACCTTTATCAATAAAGAAATCTCTACCGGAAAGTCAAATTAAATTTTTATGAGCGTTTGAAATTCAAATTTTTACAACATTGGATATTCATTCGATTTCTCATGTAGCGATTTCCTTATTTTATTGTTATTCATAAACGAATAACTATAGATACATGAAAATTTCACTGAATGTTTATATTAGCATTTCCTATACACCATACAATTTTGAAAATATTTTGACTCTTTTTGAGCCGTTTAGGGACATTTTCAGTTTTCAATTTTTTTAGTTTTTTTTTTCTATAAATATTAATAAAGTTTTATCTGTTGGGCCAAAAAGTGTGAACAATTAATACAAGGCTCCTGATATATTGTTACAAAAGCAATTGAAAAATATTAAAAATACATAGGCACAATTTTTTTTTATAAGCATTTAAATATCGCATTTTGACAAAATTTATCAAAATCTCGAAAATTATCAACCATCGTAATTAATAAATTATAAAATGTTCAGTTTTTATAGCTAAGGATTGAAAATTAAAAAAAAAAGATTCTCATAAATAGGTCTCACTGTAGCCAAAAAATCTAAAAAATATATGAGCACAGATATTTTTTACAGACATTTGAAATTCAAATATGGACGAAATTACATATTAAATCGATTTTTGATATCTTTAAAACATCATGAAATATATCATGATTAATAATACACTTTTTTTTCATTTTCCGGAAATTAATTTTAGGACTTAGAAATGAAAATTTCAAAAATCGGGCTTCTTACGGAACCAGATAAAACTCTCCTCTACAATTTTGTTCATAGGTGTTTTTATGATAAAACCACTCAGTAACCCATGTTATTGGAACGCGCAAACATGTTTTTAAAGGAATTTTTCGAGTGATTTTTTTGGGTGACACGTCCTCTTAATAGGATATTCAAATGTAAATGATTAATTTTACAACTTATTATAATTATTATTATTATTATGGTACTACAAATTAATATACTTTTAATGAATTAAAAATGTTTTGATTATAAATAGGTATTTAGTCATACTAGGCTATTATTGTTCATGTAGGTACTTCACATTCAAATGTATAATATTTTAATAATTAATTATCATGATTTATATGTTAATATTATAATAATTACAAATTGTATTTCAAATTCAAGTAATAAATAATATAATAGATATAATATGGGGTAAAAAAAAATTAAAATCTATAACACTAATACTTTTAGTAGATGAGGACTTTTAGATGCAAAGGTGTCAATGATATTTTCATAATTTATAATTATATCTCTTTCACAAGTTATTCTCATTAATCCTTGTAATCTCTCTTGCCCCATAGTAGAACGAAGTCGATTCTTCACTATTTTAAGCTTGTAAAACGCTCTTTCAGGACTAGCACTAGTTACCGGTAGCGTCAATCCTATCTTTAATATTGTATAAACATTTGGGAATACAGATATTAAACCTTTATTTAAAAATATTTGAAAAATTGGTTGTAAACTTCCCGAATTGTTTTTAATGTTTGAAACAATATTTTCTGAATTATTATCTTCTTCGTTCCCAAATATTTATCTACATTGTCTATGTAAGCTGTTTGGTAAAGCTACTGATGTTATTAGAGTATTAAAAATTGAAGCAAATTGTAAGTACTCTGAACATAAATATTTTTTATCAACAAACTTTCCATATATTTCTAAAAAGTACTTGAAACTATCTTTTGGTAAAGAATTAGGATCTTTATTTATTTTATAAATTACTTTACTTGTAAGAAGTGAGAGATCCTTAAGAACACCAATTGATTTATTACTAAAACGTTCAGATAGTTGTCTTTGTACTATGTCTATTGCAGAAAAATATGTGTTTACTTATATGTTTTGAATAGGATCTAAAATAACTTCATCGTCTGAAAGTTCACCAGACATTTTTTTCTTCTTACGTAAACGAGGAGTGGGTAGTTGAATGAACTCTTAACTTTCATCAGCTTGTTCTAAGACAAAAGCATCTACTTCTTGAGATAAACTTTCAAAACTCTCATCAGATCGAAGTGTTAATATTTTTATTTTATTTTGTTCAATCATTGAAACAGCTAACATAAGATCTAGATCTTTGTTTTGCAATATTGAGCTAGTTGGTGACAGTATATCAAACAATTTTTTAAATGTCAAAGCTGTCCATACAAAGCGATAAGACTTTAAATAATCAATTATAGCTCCAGCTTCAAATCCATTTTTTCTATCACATGGTCCATCTTTACTTCGCATTATTTCTAATGTGTCTAATACAGCCAAATATGTACTCAAAACTACGTCAAGTGCATATGAAAACGACATCCAACGTGTAGTTGTGACACGTTTAATTCGACGAATTTGTTTCTTCTTATACCTTTCTTTTTGAAACTTTTCGTAATACTTAACTCTAATTTTACTTGAATTAATTAGATCATATAATTTTTCTAAATTTCCAAACATATAAATTGCATTGATTCCTGAACTTACAACATCAGTTATCACCAAGTTTAATCGGAGTGCCCAACACCATACATAAATAGCGTGAGGATTAATTTCTTTAATTAAACTTTGAAGTCCATTATAATTACCCCTCATATTGGCCGCACCATCATACGACTGACCAACAAGATGATTTTTCCAATCTAAGTTCAACAAATCACAGGTTTGTTTAAAGACATTCATTAATTCACGACCTGTTGTTATAGGTGTTTCCAGGACAGCTATTAGACGTTCATAAATACTTCCAGAGTTTTGATCGATGTAACGAACAACAAACGACAATTGTTCTTTTGAGATACCTACATCGAATGTTGTATCAAGTGAAACACTAAAGAAAGGAGAATCCTTTATACTTTTAGATATGATTCCGACAATTTCATCTGATATACATTCTATGAGTTCATTTTGTCTCCGCCAAGATATGAAAGACCACTGAGGTTTATTATTTTTATTTTTTAAATTTGAAATGTATGGTGCCATTATAGGGGAATAGTTTGAAACAAGGTCTACTAAATCTTTGAAATTTCCTCTCAATGTATCTGACCATTTTTCACGATGACCACGAAAAGCTAAAGAATGGCAGCTTAAAAACAATGTGATGTCGATAAGTTATTTTACTATTCCACGGTTACAGAGGACTTCAAATTTTCTTTTCTCGGTCAGTGATGGAAGAACAGGTAATACTTGATTTCTCAATTTAAATTTTAAAGGTGCGTCCACAAATTTCCCAGTTTTTCATTGTTCACAAATCAACTTTAAAATATATGAAATTAGGAAACAAACCATCAATATTAAATATTTGACAAATTGATTGATACATTTGATTAATTTATTAATGAATAATAATTAATAACTTTTACTTACCGTTGGCTGTTTTAAATAACATAGACAATTCAGACAATAACTAATAAGTCAATACACATTAACAGTACACACTCTGGCTTAGTGCCGCTGGACGTCGTTGTCTAATGTCTGAAAATAAATTATCACTAGATGACTTATCGATAATATTTATTTAATATATTATTATATCTTGTTCCCGTCTTGTTGTATTTATATTAATTATGTTATACGTCTTACAAATAAACAGTTAGTTATTAGTTATACCATTTACTAATTACAATTTACAATATGTTACATTTTTATAATTATAAATTATTAAATCTACAGATTATAGTGTTAAAACTTCCAACTTCTAAATCCCACCAGGCACCCACCTCCAAAATAAGTGTGGCTTAAGCCACACTAGGTATAACGTGTGGGCGCCACTGTACCAGATGCACGCCACTGACGGCTGGTAGATTGGAGTTTAAATTATTACTAGGTCGTTCGTTTCGCTGTTTAGAAAAACATTCCGTTATTATGTGTCCGGATCTATTGCAGTAAGTGCAGAATAAGGGGCGCTGGCACTTGTATTAATATTACGTTCTACAATATTGTTGTTCGGCTGTCTATTATGTGTGTAGTTTCTTTGCATTTGGCAGACTTGTCGGCAGTTACACTCTATGTGGTTATTACGACCACATATATAGCAATTCACGTTAGTCGCCGCCATCTTCGGATTTCGTCGTACAGCATTAAAATTATTGCCATAAGAATTTTGTCTACCATAGTCATTACTTCTATTAAAATTAACGTTGTTATTACGATTTACATTTTGATGATTATAATTATTACGAGCGAAATTGTGGCCGTTGTATCCGATATTATTTTGACTATAATTATTTTATAATTATTTCTATTAAACCCTTGGTTACCCATATTGTTGTAATAATTATTGTTCCTAGCTTGATTGATTCTACCTTGATTGAAATTCTGCCTATAATTCTGAAGTCTAAAATTATTATTTGGTACTGAGTCCTATCTTACGATTTTTTCCTGTAACTTTTCTACCTGTAAGTTCGCATAATATTCTAATTCCTCGTCTTGGGCCATGACCATAGCTTGTTCTAGAGATTCCGGAGCCCTGTTGATTCGTCTGCCAGGTGAGTCCAAATTATATATTATTATTAAGATGTACATGAAGTTGCCCCCCCCCCCACTTTGTCCGAATGACTTCAAAATACCGACAAATAATTGCAACTAATTGCAAATCGAGTGGTGGGAGGCGGGCTGGCTAAAAAATTTAAAATATAAAAAATGATTTGCAATTTAGCCAAACTCGATTTGCAATTAGTTGCAATTAATTTGCAATTATTTGGCGGTATTTTGAAACAAATCGGACAAAGTGGGGGCTGACTAAAAAATTGAAAAATTCGTAAAAATATAAAAATGATTGCAATAGCCAACTTGATTTGCAATTAGTTGCAATTATTTGGCGGTATTTTGAAACGAATCGGACAAAGTGGGGGGGCTACATGAAGTTGGCACCCCCAACTTTGAATTTGAGTTTACTCAAAACTGGGTGATTTGCAATTATTTGGTGGTATTTTGAAATCATTCAGACAAAGTGGGGGGGCCAACTTCATGTACATAATATTAAGCCTTGGAAGTTATAGGAGCTAAAAAAGGAGAATTATGCATGGAAAAATTTCAAGTATGCAAAAGAAACCTACCTACATCAAATAATATTGAGTTTTATATTTAATATTATTAAAATACACAGCTTTAGAACATATTAAATAGCTATGCGTTAATATGCATTTGAAAATCAAGAAATAAAATTTACATTTTCCCCCAAAATTGTATTCATTTATTCATTTATAATTTATATAATATTGTGTTTATTATATTAAATATTATAAATTATTATATTGTACACCTATAATTATGAGTGTTAAAATATGTAGGTAGTATTACATAATTAATTATTTAAAATATGTATTATAATTTAACATTTTTATTATCCATATAGTATAAAAACTTATTTTTTTTTTATTTTATATTTAGTATCTACTATAGTCCGTTTCACAACACTAGATATTCGATTGCAGCGCCACCCGTGGACTAAGTTTGACATTCCATTGTTTCCCAATTATGAACAAACCGCGGCAATTTCAAATCTCATTAGTCATTATTTATGTCTTTAACGATTAAAAATAATAACGAAACATTCTTTTTTACAGTTTATTAAAAACACAATATTTATTAAGAATATTAAACGTGCACATTGTATACATAATTATATTACTACATTATTATTAAAACTTTAAAACTGTACAATAGTTAGTAATTTTTAATGACAAAAAATACTTAAAATTCTTCACTGTCGCTTTCACTATCACTACTATCATCAGGATTGATTGTCAGTATTATTGGTGTCAAAATTTCGTCTCTTAATCCTTCTTTGATGAAATCATCGTCTTGCAGTTTGTGGCAGTGATCGGTACATTTTTTCCAATTTTCAACAGTTACAGAGTCCAATGCGTCGTTTAACAATTTTTCGACATCGTCAAATTTAAAAGTTTTATTGTTTTTAGCGACTTCCCCTTTTACTTGTGCCCATATCAACTCAATAGGATTGTATTGGCAGTGGTATGGCGGCAAACGTACAACTTCATGGCCCATCTGAAGTGCAATTTCATCAAGTTCATATTTTTTTTCCTTGGGTATTAATGACTTTACACGTTCCCGTAATTCACTCAGTGTTTCTAATGGAGAAAAATCTACTCCGTTTTCTCTGAGCCATTGTTGAACACTTGATTTTATAGCATTTGATTTTGGATAATTGACAGAAAGAACAGAATGGTAAGATGCATTATCCATTACAAGGTGGTTCCTCCAAATGGTTTAACATATCAATAAACCATTTCTTAAATATAGTGGCGTTCATTTGTGTGTGGTAATCTGGATGTGTAGCACTTGATTTACACCGTAATACTAATTTAGAACCATTTACAAAACCAAATTTACTAGAACCAGCATGACAAATAAGCAATCGACCTCCTTTTCCAGTCGGTACCTTTAATCCTTCAGTATTTTGGGAATTTTGCCAAATTTGACCACGTGAATGATTTTGGTTAACCCAAGTTTCATCCAGGTAAACTATAGTTCGAGTGTCATTACTTTGACGAAGGTTACACATTTTACGTAAAAATTTTACGCGCATAGCAACAATATCATTCCGTTCCATGAGAAATCGTCTACCGTCATTACATTTTTTATATTTAAAATTTAATGATCTTAAAATTCGCCACATTGAAGTTCTAGATCCACTATAACCCGTTTTTTCTTTATAAGCACTTAAAATTTTTTGTGTAGTTGGGTACTCACGGTTATCATAAAACTCATGCACTGTCCGCCGTACAATGTCCACATCAAAATCGTCGATGTCAGTCGCATACTTCACACGTTTGAATGTTTTTCAGGGAGACGTAAATTTCGGTCCTTCCTCAGATTCAGAACACGAAGACTTAGATGCCTCAGAAGTTATACGCCTCACAGTCGCAATGGTCACTTCACATGCCTCCGCAGTCATTTGCTGAGCTTGTTTAAAAAAATTGGCCACTTCAAGATTTGATTTGTCATTAGACAATTTTTTAAAATATTTATAAACACTAAAAATTGTTTTTTTAGTTTGGGAGTGAATGTCAGGACGAATAGACATTATAAATTATTCACAAAGATAAACAATATTTTAAAAAAAAACTGAAAATTTCAGTTAAAATATTTAAATAATATATTCAAATCACAGATATTAAGAGCGGGAACACGTGCGTACGTCACAAAGTTTGTTAGAAAACAAGGATGTGAAAAAAATATAAGGTATTAACACTACAACAATGCGCAACAGATCAAGCAGCTGCAGCTTCCTCTCCCGTATTGTATAGCACAGCGTGATGACGTGTATATAATTATGTGACGTGTCTACGAGCGAAATACTTCGATATAATAGCAGCTGTGTTTAAATGTACTGCAATGGTTACTAAAATGTACATAACAGCAGCTGGTGTCATTTTATTTTTTAAATTTGGCGCGCTTGTATTTGAACATTTTTAGAAACCCTGAAGAGAATTGTCCACGGGTCGGGCTGTAATCGAATATCTAGTGCTGTGAAACGGACTATAAATGGTTTCTATTTATATTATATTGATTATGTATTTTCACACAAACCAATATTATATCCAATATTTGTTCATTTTCTTTAATGATGTGTT